GGCGGCTCGGCCCGGCAGTCGGCTTGAGGGAGGTTGTCCCCGAGGTCTGGAGGGCTGCTAGCATCCTGGGAATGGGGGCGAGTTTGGCCTTATCCACTGTGCTCGTATTTTGCTCGTAATTCTCTTTATTTGGATACAGGATTACTTTTTCTTAGCTTTACAGCAGAGCTCGTGGGGCCAGATGAACTCCTTTCTGCCTCAACATCGGTCCATTTTGCATTCATGGGTCCTTAAGTTTTCCAAAACCCTCTCTCTTGTGCTTTGTGTTTCCCCTAGTGTGTTTTTCTGTTTCAGAGTCTTCTGATGCTCATGGACAGCCCCCTGAATCGGGCTGGTCTCCTGCAGGTTTATATCCATACCCAGAAGAATGTCCTAATAGAAGTCAATCCCCAAACCAGAATCCCAAGAACTTTTGATCGATTCTGTGGTCTTATGGGTAAGTGATTCAAACTTTATACCCACCACAAAATAATGCAGGAAGGTGGATAGGAGCAGAAGAATTCGGGGAAGAATTAAAAAGTTGCACCAACCTTAAAAATGTGAAAGTGAGAAAAGCAGAGAAATTCAAGTATCTTTTTTGTGAGTTTCAGGATGCACAGTCTAACTATGCATAGTGATGAGTACCTGCATAAGACAGTGCTAGCAGCAAAATAACTCACTGATGAGTAATCGTAGGAATGCTGTAGAAGATACTGGGAACTCTAAAGATGGACTTGCCTACTTTAGCTGTGATTACTAAGTAGAGGATAGAATTCTTCTGGCAAAAGAACAGGCAGCTTAACTGATTTTCTTCTCTTGTCAGTTCAGCTGTTGCATAAGCTCAGCGTTCGAGCAGCTGATGGGCCTCAGAAACTTTTGAAGGTAAACATTGTTCGATGGCTCACAGGTAATGTTGTAACATTCCTCCTTTGCAGCTAGTGATGTTGGAGTGATTTTTTTTTTTTTTTGTACAAACCACAGATTTAGCTACATGGCAGGGCCTCTTACTTCCATTACCCTACTAACTTTCTGCTTTCTGTAGGTGATTAAAAATCCAGTCAGTGATCATCTCCCTGTGGGCTGTATGAAGATAGGTACCTCTTTTGCAGTTCCAAAGGTATCAGATCCGCGTGAACTGGTTCCTACATCAGAGTCAGTTGCTATTGTTGTGGGAGCTTTTGCCCATGGTTCGGTAAGTGCATGTATCCCTTACCTGGAGTTGGAAAAATCTTTACCACCATAGATTTCAGTCTTGTTCTGAGTATGAGGGTTTTTTTCTTCTTTTTTTTTTTTTTCTTGATCCCCCTGTTGTCCCTGTCCCTCCTCCCAACCCCCCTTTTTTTTCCCCCCCGGGTAGGCTTGTCAAAAAAAGGCCCAATTCCGTAATGCTTGGAACTTTTCTCCCTCCCCAGAGAGGGCACCAGTGATGGCTAGCAGTTGTCTTGCTGTGTTTTATTGTGGCTGTGTTCAACCTTGGAGAAATACTGTGCCTCTCCAACCAATGGAGAGAGATGGGACTAAGTGAAAACTTGCAGCTTGATTTTTTTTCCTCTTCTTCCAGGTCAACGTTGACTATACAGAAAAGATGGTCTCCATCAGCAACTATCCCCTCTCTGCTGCCCTGACATGTGCTAAAATTACTACTGCCTTTGAGGAAGTCTGGGGAGTAGTATGACTTTCTGCTACTACTGCTGTCATGGTAGATTCCTATACAGTGACTCCGCATTCTGGAGAGGCTCTTATACTTAGGTGTGGACCTGGTGCGGCTTTGGGCTCCTTGAAGGGAAAAGGCTTCTGGAGCAATGAGACTTTAAATGGATTGCCCTACCGACCTTTTTTCTTCCTATTAAAGGTCACGTTTGGTAAGAGTGCTTGTGTATTTTACTTTCTCAGGTTTAATAGAGGGGCAGGCTTGATGCCTTTATAGCAGGGACTCAGGCCAAATTTGTCATGAACCTGAAAATCTTAGTTGTGCCCTGCTTGCTCTGCAGTTGATGTTACTTGGTCCTGTAGAATCACCTTGCTTGGTGGTGAGTGACAGTTTACACTCCCCCATTGAGGCACCCAAGAGGAAAGGAGCTGAAGCTGATATGAAAAAGACCAGGCGCAATTTTTATCTTGGATGACAAACGTAGAAAAGTCAGAAGGTGGCTCCAATCCAATACAGTGCCTGCCTCGAGTGTTTTACAATCATCTGGTATCAGCAGGGAAACATGAGAGTCCACCGGAGGGCGGCAGAGAGATAAGGCAACGTACATAAGGTGGAGGATCTGGAAGGAGGCTTACTCCATACCCCTCCTTTCGGGTCTCTGACCCTGTGCTTTCTCTTTCCCCCTCCTCGCGTCTAAAAAAGTCATTACTTCAACACAGCAAACGTGCCAGGTGATGGTTTGCTTCTGGAGTGTTAAGTCGACTCCTACAAATGCACACGTGGTACAATCTGAAAAAGAGAAAAGTACTAGATTTGCTTCAGTTGTTTTTATGTTTGCCTTCCATCTTGGGAAGTAACATTACTGGTAACTTTATCTCCTAGTCCAAGTGTGGGATTCTTTCCATATAGTACAGCCTTACCTTTTGGCTGTTATTCTGCTTTTTTTAGCTTTTCTTTTCGTGGCACAATTAATCTGCGAATGTAAGGCAACACCAATAACAAGGTGAAGAACAACACGTGGCCGAGAAAATAAATAGACCTGTACACCTGTGAAGAGAGAGGCAGCCATAAGGATCAGCAAGCAGCTTTGAGCCAAGAACGTACTGGATGGGATGGAGGGAAAAGGGTCGGTTGCACAGGTTGTCTGTGGCTACTGCATACCTTAATCCATTTGTCCCAGGTGAAAAGGCAGAATGGCACCAGAGAATAACCCATAAACATCCAGTGGTTAGCCTGCTGCAGCACATAGAGGACAGGCTTCAAGGCAGTGATGGAGGCCAAAGTGCTTAGGGGAGGACTGTCTCGAAAAAGGTTTATGACCTAATTTAAAGAAAAATCAGAATTCTCAGTTGGATGTCTTATGGCTATACCTGCAGGCTCTGGAGCCACAGAGCTGTGTAAAATGAACTTTGCAGTTAGTCTAAAAAAGTAGTTAAGTTTGTTTGTTTTGTTTTTTTTAATTTAAAAGTACTGGGAGATTTAGCAAAGGTATTCAGGTCCCGTGCTTGTCCTCCAACCTGTCCAGCTGCCAAGCACTTGGCATATGAGTAGAGGGCAACAAGTTCTCCACTTCCTGTCAGCTTCTGCAATAAATTTATGCCCTGCCCACACAGAAGCCAGCGACCTAAGCACTTGTTGCCCTCTACTCATATGCCAAGTTCTCCACTTCCTGTCAGCTTCTGCAATAAATTTATGCCCTGCCCACACAGAAGCCAGCGACCTACTGAACTCTTGAGAACAGAACCGTATCATGTTTGAACAACAATTCCAAAGTGAGTAGCTACTTTTCATATTTAATTTAAGTAAAGCCTTCAGCATGGCAGTTTCCAGACTCACAGGGAAAGGCTAATGCAGGTCACCCCATTCTGGTAAGTCAGACAAAGCGCACCTGTCTTTCAACGATGACTATAAGCAACTCCATTTGAAAGCACACCAGGTAGCCAGAGTGCAGCCCATGCCAAATGGCCAGGAAGAACAGGGCCAGTGCCTGTGACAGCAGTTTGTTACCCAGGAACTTCAGACGCTTGAAGATGTAGCTAGAGCAGAAAAGAAACAAACTCAAAAGTGCTTTTAGTTTATTGTCTGTCTTCCCCTCTCCATGTCAGAGATGCAGGGCCCAAGTGACCGTACACCTTTGCACACCCTGTGGGGACACAAACAGCAAGACAGCTCCCCATACCAGGGCAAAATGTACCTCAGCCCATGTCTTAAAGAAATCCCAGCTAATGGGAAGAAGTGGTTCATCCAACAACACACAGAAAAATTATATTTTACAATTCCATTATGTGTCCCAGCAGGTGCCGAACTAAAACCTGGTTGAGTCATTGCACAGGGGGCATCAAAAGGCACGATGTAGGAACCAGCAGTTAGAGCAGTTCTGTGGCTGTTGGACCAGGCAGGCCAAAGGGCTTGCTGTAGTCCCATTCTAGCCTCTGCCCTCCTGCTGCCATTAACTGCTTGCTTGTATTAATGAACTGCCCTTTTAGATTGAAGGAAAAGAACTAACCTAGTAACCTATTTCAAATGGGACAGCAGCAAAATGTGAAAGAAAGAGCGTAAGAACTGAAAACTGACAGATTCTTCCTCTAGTGCTCCCTCTCAGCCTAGGATCTTGGTTCTGCTGGCACAGATGTTACTGACAAATTACAGAAGGGAAATTTTGTCCTGCTCACCGGGCCACCCAGGCATTGGTGTTGATGTTGAACGAAGCAATGGTCCCTGTGAACAAAGGTGTTGTCTCATACAGCCAGACCTTCATGTTGGCACAGGCATCCCACAAAGGCTTTCCACTTTGGTCCTTCCCATTGTACCCCAGACCAACAAGGATGCAGACACCTTCCTATGGAAAAAGATTCACCAGAAAGAGGAGAGGGAAAGCTCTGACTCTCATTGTGTTGAGTGGAAAAGCACCATTGCAGATGGAACAAACAGATTAAAAACTGGCTACTTTTTAGTTAGCTAGCCTTTGCTAACTTAAAGCAAGCTAAACTGACCTGCATCTGTCTCCAGAAATTTGTATTACTTCCATTTAGCACCAAGTCCCAGAGCATGCTAAGTAGCTGCCAAAGCGCTACCTTTTTTAATTTGTCTTTTGTTTCCGGAATGACGTCTAGACTCACCGTAACAAGCCAGCAGGTTACGTATTTGTAGAGTATAATTTTGCCCCAGATCAATATGTAACCACAACGGAACCAGAAAGGTTTCTCCTGCAGAGATAAGAGTGAAGTAGAATAAAAATAAAAACCAGAATTGACTGGCAATAATGAGACAAGGCAGATGAGACCTCATCACTGTCTTTTGTTTTAATCTGTTGTATGTCTCGAGACTGCTATAAGGACTGGACTGCCAGGCTATTGACTTATGCAAATATACACATTATTCTCTTTCCTTTGGTAATATTTGGCTGTATTGAAATAGGTACTTTGGGAAGACTCTGGGATTAGCATAAGCATTGCAGAAGTTACACCCTCATTTATTCATACTGACACAGAAACACCGATAATCTGCAGGTAGGAGTTACTTGTTAAGAGTTGTAAGAACCTCAGAGATTCTGGTAAGCCTTGTAAATTACTCATGTGAAGTTCTTTGCAGCCTAATGGTTAAATGGAAGGTCATTAAAAGGTCACAATATACATATGTTAGGTTTCCAAAAACAGTAGTTTCTAAGATTAATTCTCTATTTGTAAACATTTTCATTTGGTTCAATTCAGTTTAACACATTCCTGTCCTGCATCAAATGGAATCCACAGGATAGGCAGTAAAGCCAGTTGTGGAAAGGCTTATCACTAGTTGCTGACTTATCTTATTTTTAAATTGAGGCAAAACTAAAAAAAAAAAAGTAAAAAAATAAAAAAAATTAAAAAATCTGCCCTTCAGAGAAGTAGAATTCTTCCACACCCAGAACTGCCAAATCAATACATACCATATAATCATCTGAGATGAGGTATTCATCAGAGATGTACAGGCTTGACAAGGTATAGGTTACTAGAAACAAGAGACCCAAACTCAGGCGCTTGAGAGCAGGCACAAAACTGAGAAAGAAAAATATGAAGGTCAAAGAAAAACCTTGGAAATAGACCAAACTCATAATTTTAAAAACAGAAATGGAAAAGAGGAGGTAGGGGAGATAGCAATATGGGGTCACCACATTCCAGTGCAGCAGATGCCTCCATTTGGAAGCTGGGATGCTAACATTACCAGGCTGGGACCCAGTCTGTACTAAAGATGTCAAATCGTTGTTGATGTTCATGCCCTGCAACAATGCTAGGACATTAAGCAGTTAGGAGCGATGTCTGAAAGACTGCTTTGTCTTATAAATCACTTTTGGTCACAGTACTTTAGTGTTCAGGTAAGAAGGCACTCTGCTGCAGGGAACATGTGGAAGATTCAGCATTCCAGGATCTTAGGAAGGTGAGGAGCTTAGTGGCTTTTTATTACCTATTGGGTCTCTGGCCTTGAACGTCAGTCATCTCACCCCTTGCCAGTTTCTGATAGTCTGTCATGGAGAACTGAGGCCCAACCATGAAGGCACCATAGAAATAGGAGAATCCTGAGACCTCCAGCAAGGTAGGAACTCCCCGGACAGCAAATCGCCGCTGCTCAGGGGTCAGGAACTCCTGCACCAAAGGGAGTGGCATTAACATCATCCATGGGGATCTCATACTAGCTCTGGATGTTATGTTCTCAGCCTACCTCCTTAATGGTCTCAGTTCTTGCTCTCCATGTATATGGAACTTTCCACTTTGTATTTCACATCCATTCCTCTCCCCAGCCCTCTCTATCCCCACCCCCTCTAAATAGCAACAAGATCCAGTGGTTGAGATGAGTTACACAGATCTCTATTCCCAAATAAACACGGAAGGGATCTGTTGACATGCATCCCTGCCAGCAGAGTAAAAGCACTGTATCTGACTTCCACCAGTGCCTGCCTGTAATCGCACATACTCTCCCAAGACCCTAACGTCCTACAATTCCTACTTCTTGATGCAAGAATTCATTGTCTTTAAACACTTGAAACTTCAGCTTAGGAAATTTCAGCTCAACCTTGTTTTCTTGCAGTCAGCAGTGATTCCACAGATGCTACAGACTGGGTCAGGCCCCAAACAGGAGATGGGGAAGTAGGATTAAGAGACTGTAGCTCTGTCCTCTCCCACACACTGTGATGTGTGACTTCTCTCACTGTTTCAACTGCTCTAAAGACCAGGCCCTACCAAATG